TTATTAGTGTATATAAATATATAAAGGGGGAGTGTCACGAGGATGGAGCCAGGCTCTTCTCAGTGGCAAACAATGATAGGACAAGGGGCAATGGGTACAAACTGGAACACAAGAGGTTCCACTTAAACTTGAGAAGAAACTTCTTCTCAGTGAGGGTGACAGAACACTGGAACAGGCTGCCCAGGGAGGTTGTGGAGTCTCCTTCTCTGGAGACATTCAAAACCCGCCTGGACACGTTCCTGTGTAACCTTATCTAGGTGTTCCTGCTCCGGCAGGGGGATTGGACTAGATGATCTTTTGAGGTCCCTTCCAATCTCTAACATACTGTGATACTGTGTAATAGTTAGGGTTGGAAAGGACCTTAAGATCATAAGTTCCACCCCCTCTGCCATGGGCAGGGACACCTCGCTCTAAACCATATCACCCAAGGCCTCGTCCAACCTGGCCTTGAACACTGCCAGAGATGGAGCATTCACAACCACCCTGGGCAACCTATTCCAGTGCCTTACCACCCTAACAGGAAAGAATTTCCTCCTTATATCCAATCCAACTAGTCTTCCCTTGCTCTCAGCATCACCTTTGCCACCAAACAAAAAAAAAAACCATCCACCTTCAGAAATCACAAGAGGGTTGTCATTAGTCCTGTCTTTATTTATTCCATTAAAAACTCTACCAATGACCCAGTGTTTCAGTTCTCTCTTCTACCAAAGTTCAGTTCTCAAAAGGTCGAATTAAAATTTTCAGACTCCTGAGGGATATAATCCTGAAAAGTTTCCCAGTACTTTTACAGTGAAATGTTTTAAAGAGAATCCAAGCAAAGGATTTCCTTCCTATTAGCTCCGAACAGAGGAGCTAAAACTCGTCCATGCTGCCATTCATTTAATTTACCAAATGTGCAACTAATTTTACCTGCTTAAATCAGTGAATGGATTTACTTCAAATGGAACAGTTTTCCTACTTGAGTGAGAAATGTAAACCAAGTCAAGTCTGAAGCCTTTAACTTCAGCTGACTAGGCTTCAGAATCATAAAATATTAATCATGGTATTCTTTTCTTCTGCCTCCTTGTGAAATTGGCTGTAGTTAGAGAAGGGACACGGACCTCAGATAGGTTTGTGCTCTGCTGAGAAGGCTCAGATAATTTTTTTGGATGACTAACTACTGTTTTGCTTAAGTGCTATAGGTCATAATAATTACCAAACTCAGTGATGGGAAGGAATATATTCTAGTGAAGGCAGCAAGAACAATAGAAGCTTCTTTCTTCCATACTAGGTAGTGCCTCAAAATTAGGCTGAAATATTAGCCTTACTAATATCATTTAACATGGCTTATTTAAATGAAGGCTTATCATGATTTGGTGGTTTTTCACAGCCCTTGCATCTTTGAAATATCACAAGACAGATATCTGCACAAATCAGAATTTATTTATATAACTAATACTTTCTTTCAGAGAGAACAATGTAAAAGGAGTCAATTTAGATATTAAGATGCTAGTTTTACTACTTGTGGAAAGCTGTTTTATTGTTTCATAATATTTTATTAATATAACCTTATATTGAGTCAAATTAAGGTATAAGTAAGAACGATAAATGGTCTCTAGTGATTAATTTTTCTTTATAAACCTATTACTCTTTAAAAAAAAATTTGGGGAAAGCAGTTTAAAAAAACCCAAAACAACTCTTCACATTTAAGGAAAAAGCCATACAAAAATCAAAATAACTGCCTTAATTTAAATTCTTTAACTTTTGAAATTACAGTGAATTTCACAGAAATACTAACTTTGCTTTACAAAATAATGTGTTCTGAATTCCTTTTAAGGTGACTGAATAAACTGGACTATAATACAAACGCATGAATATAATTCCCAATTTTGAGGGGAAAAATAATCCTCATACTCCACATCTCAGCACTTGCAGGCAAAACAGCATTTTCAAAAATCTCCTCAGGACACAGGAAGCACAAGCAAGGTAAAATTATTTTACTGAGCCTCTACATTTAAAGAAAGACTGCTCCCTTCTCTTTATCTTCATTCTGAGGGATAGGGGGAGAGGTGTATATGTGTGCCTGTTTTGTTGGGGTTTTTTTATGTTTCTCCTTAATGCATCAGTCTCAATGTGGAATTGAGGTTAAGCTGGCAGATTAAGACAACTCATTTTAACCCAAAATTATTTTTTTAGATATATATATATATATATATAAACAATTCAGAAATGTACTCAGGAATACCTTGTTCTGACCAGTTTTCCTTTCCCTCGGCTCCCTGTCTGTTCAGTACTGGTGCTCAGGCCCCAGTTGAGTGGACCCTGACCTATATTCTTTATCACTTTTCCTTCCATGCTCCTGTGTCAAGACAGCTTGCAGAATTCTGCAAAAATCCTAAGGGATTTACAGAAATCCATGCTTATTATAGACTGTTCTGTGACATGCCAGAAAAATGGCCATTTCAGAAAAATGAATACCTCTGAAGAGTATCACAGCAGTCTTTTTCATTGTCAATGCTTCCAAAAACCACCAAAATTAGGCTGAAGATTAAAAGCAAATGAGCATCACAACCTTCTGAAGAATGCCAAATGCAAGCAATGACTTGTTTAACTCAATAAACAATAATACAATCTCAGAAAATTCCTAAGAGGACTTAGACTATCTAAAATGCCCTAGTAAAAGCATAAAGACAACAGTAAATATGAGCATAGTATGCACGGAGCTTGATTAATCCCCATTACAAATTAACGGATCAAGAGACAAATGAGTGCATACATTTGGTGATGCATAATAATTACCTCAGGTGAAACAAGCTGTAGAAGTCTTTAGCAACATTCCATAAAGAGAAAATAAGCATTAGCAGCTAAACCGACAAAGTTCTATACCTGCATGATGAACACTAATCAGGCAGTGTGTAACTTAGAGGCCTGGCAGGTGCAGAGAAATCTGGAAGAGCACTCCAATTCCTTTGCATGATGAGACCATGCTAAAAATATGTACCAGTACCAGCAGACAAGAGAAGAAGCTACAAAATGGCATATAAAGGAGGTGACAAGGAGGCCTCCAAGTAGGAAGAAAAGTATAGACAGATGAGTTGAAAAGCACAACCACACCAAGACAAAAGAAGTCTCACATAAAAGAAATAATAACTCAAAGAACAAGAACAGCTAAGAAATTAACTCCCTTGCATAAAAAAAGACTAATTTTTAACATGTTCTAACAGGAAAGGGGATCCTTCTACCACAGTCCTGGCATGGCCCAGAAGACCACCAGGATTAGAGCCCTGCTTTTGTGAACTTCCCCACAAGGCTTTGGGTATCATGCATCCTTCCCAGACTTCACGCATCCTTCCCAGACTTCACTAAGGTAAAATGGGAATATCAACACATGTTCTTAAATCAATTGTTTGTGAGGATAAATGCTCAAAGATTAAGGTATACAGATACTGTTTATTTCATTTTTTTTCACCCAAGAACGCTGAAGAACCTGGCAGAGGAGCTTGCCAAGTCATTCTCAATAATCTATCAGCAGTCCTGGTGTAGAGGGCAGGTCCCTGAGGATTGGAGGTTGGCCAACATGATGCCTCTCTACAAAAGAGGCAGGAAGGAATACCCCAGAAACTACTGCCTGTCAGCCTGACCTCAGTGCCGGGGAAAGTCATGGAGCAGATCATTCTAGGGAAAATGGGGGGATCGTGCCCAGTCGGCACGGTTTCATGGAGGGAAGGTCCTGCTTAACCGACCTGATCTCCTATTATAAGGTGACTTATCATAAGAGATGAGGGAAAAGCTGTGGACATTGTCTGTTTGGACTTAGTAAAGCATTTGACAATGTGTCCCACAGAATCCTCCTGGAGACACTGGTTGCTCATGTCCTGGACCATTCTTTGCTGGGTTGGAAACTGGCTGTATGGCAGAGCCCAAAGACTGGTGGTAAATGGTGTCACATATAGTTCGCAACTGGTCACTAGTGGTGTCCCTCAGGGCTCAGTGTTAGGGCCAGTGTTGTTTAATATCTTCACTGATGATCTGGATGAGGGTATCAAGTGTACCCCTCAGTAAATTTGCTGATGACACCAAGGTGGTTGGAAGCATTCATCTGCTGAAGGTTAGGGAGGCTCTGAAGAGAGATCTGGACAGTCTGGACCAACAGGCTGTGGCCAGTGACAGGAGGTTCAACAAGGCAAAGTGCCATTTAGAATTTTCCCTGTGATTTCAGGAACAATAAACACTAAAGCTCATTATTAAAGCTCTTGGGAAACACAGTTTCTTCTTATTTCAGCTATGCAGCTCTCAAATTTTACTGTATTGGCTTCCAATGCAGATTATATATTTACCTAAGTTTCACTCAAAATGTACTCTCATCAAAGTAAAAGTGATTCCTGAAACCATCAATGTAACCACTACCACCTTCAGTTTTAACAGCAATGGCCATCACTGTTTTATTATAACTGAAGAGAGAAAAAGGATGCATTCCATCCGACTACTCTAGTGAGGCAATGCACAGGGAAATACTGCAAATATTGGCTATAGTTTTCACAGTGTATAAACATAGACATAAAATCTACTACCGGATATAGCAAAGTAATAACCTTACTACCCAAAACCAGAGGTGACATTTTAACTAAAAAAGATCATTTTAGGATTATATGGTTCAGCTGAGTTGTTATTTATTGAGATATATTACCTACAAATATCCTCTATCTTGACATTAATACTTGCAGGACTGAGTAGAAAGCAAAAACAAGAGTATACAGCAGCAGCATATTTCCCCCTTAGCCTTATGCTACAAACAGCACAAGAAATTCATATTCATCAACAAGGTTAAAAGACTCATGCACAAATATGTGCTTCAGTATGTGAATTGAGTACATTTTTAGGCTGGGAAAGGAACAAGGAGAAAGAGATCATGACAATGATGAGAACAATGCAGATTCATAGATGCAGCTGGAATGAGAAGCCTGTCTTATCATGCATGTTGATAAACCACACTTGAGTTAGCACTGAACAGATGTTCCTACCTGACAGGGAGCCGGGCCCTCTGAGCCAATAACAGTTCTGTCGGTCCACTGAGGTTCATCTCCCCATCCTGAAATGATACCTGGGAAGCACCCTGTTGAGAGATTTCAAATCACATTTTTAGACTATTATGTATTTATGCATATATATTTTTGAGTCAATATTTTGGAGAGAAAACAAGTCATAAGTAACATCATCTCACTGACAGTGAGGACTGAATGACTCTTTCTGTATGCAATGTACGTGACACAGCATTTGGAAAAACAGGAGGAGATCTAAAGTCCTGCTCTTCACACCAGAGCCCCACCATGCTTCCACTACAGAAGTTCACAGTACCGCTTCCTTACCTGTCTGTCTAACCTGAATGTCACTCTTTCCCATACTAGGCCACCTTCCTTCTGCAACAGCCTCCACAGACCATGGGTAAACCCAAGGGCTTTTCCCCCTCCTCTTTCTATCCCTTAGAGGCATTTATCTGGTAAAGACGTATTTTCAGTTACTTCACAGAAAAAAAAAGAAGTAACAAGTTGGCCAGACATAAAAATACAGTTCACACAGGGACCTGGCATTAATGCTAAAGCTCTTGAAAACCATTTTTTTTCCTTCTTTTTGTGATCCTTAGACTCTCAATGTTTGCATTTTTTTTTCCATACTGGGAGAGGGAAAGAGGTACCAATGAGATAAGACCACTGTCAGCAGGTGATGTATTAGCTTTAACGTACTGTACTTCGTTACAACCCTTATGGCAATAATGTAAACAGAGCAAAATCCGTAACAAAGACCTTCTTTGGAGAGGTCACTTCTGTCAACTCCACAACAGGAGTATAGCTGGAAGACATAAATCTTCAGCTGTCAACACACCAAAAGAATTCAATTCGGAGCTTGATCTTAACCAGATAAAGCCTAAAGTTAATAATTATTTTTCTGTTGTTGCAGTGGTACAGTTTTCCAGTGTATATACTCGCCATATCAAGTTGTCTCAAGGCAGAAGGTTGCAGCGCTATAAATTAATTCCAAAGAACAAAGCCAGCTAGACAAGCAATTTAATTTTCAATAAAAGCTCTACACTGTGTATTAAAACTTCCAATGTCTCTCGAAAGGTGGCTCTACTCAGAAAGATGGCTTTAAAGGTTTGGAGCTTTCAGTCCTTCAAAGATCTGCAGAACTCATTTTCAGTTTATAAGAATCAAGAGAGCTGTTGGCCAGAGTGCGTTGTTTTGAGTTCTAAAAAAAGAATCATGACCAACCTCGCAAGCAAACCCTTACAATATAAGTCAAACTGGATCCCCTTTTGGTTCACACACTGCTTTTGAACCCACAATATTGGTATGGTTCTCTTTGTGCGTTAATCAGAGCACAAGCCAACAGACGGCTTCCACTGCAAGCCAAATATAGCTCACTAAAAGCGAACTGATGTCACTAATGGAAGAACTATTCTAAGAAATGTATACTGAGTATGTGCCATCTTTTCCAACCACTCTTCACACTGGAACCACATGTCAAGGACCAATTCTTGTTACATGAAGCATATTCCATACTAACCTCATAAATCAGGAGCTCAACCTCAAGTAAAAAACTCAATCACTTGTTCATATTTTACAGACTGATTGTCAGTTTTCAATAGCAGAAGGATTAATGACCCTGATTCCCAAAACTTAACTCAAATTCAGCTGACAGTGCAATAGATTTACAGTGACAGTATTGCAGTTTTCACTTAGGAAACAGGAATAAAAAACAAAATGGTGTGGTAAAAACAAAAGCCAGTAAAGCACATGCATCTAAGAACACTGGAAGTTTTAGAATTTATTTACATAGGGATATTTTGAATTAGGCAACTCTTCTCAGTGCTGTGAAAAGCACATTCTTCAAATTAGGACTGAAGCAGAAGAGAGGGATCCCATCAAGTAACAGCCCTCTGAAAACAACTGTAAACAAAATGCTTTGAATAGTCTTATATTCATTATGTGACAGATCTTAAATTAGGTAAATATGTGTGTTTAACAGTGGAATGAGTGAAGAGTACATACCAGTCACATTTTCTACTCTGTGAACATGCACAGTCTTCTCAGTTCAACAGTTAGTATGGATATATATTAGCTCCAACAGTAAATATGCTGGACTCAGAATCAGCTAGGTTGGAAAAGACCTTTATGATCAAGTCCAACTGTTACCACAGGACTATGAAAGTTACTGTCTAGAAAAAGAGACAGGGAGAGACAGAACTCACTGAAAATGGTCAAATCAACTGTTCTTATTTGAAACAAAGGGTGCGGCCTTGAGCAGGTAACAGCAGATGGCTGCCCTGAGAGCCAGGTTACTTACCAGCACCTTGCTCTGTTTTCTCACTATCATCACAACCCAGAAATCCTGGATTTTCATATTAAATAAAAAAACCCTGCACCAGATCTGTTTTCTAACTAAGCTCTGGTTATAGTGTAGTTTTACACTACATTTTAGCTAAATAAAAAAATAAAAAAATCTTTTGTTGAGGTGGTTCCGCAGCAAAAGTGTGCATGTTCACCCAAGAGTGGACAATACCACCCAGTCCAGTAGAGAGCTTCAGAAATATCCATGGGCCACCAGTGGCCCTAAAAGGGCCCTAATTCACCTCTTTTCTCCCTTGTAGGCTCAGAATACTATTGTTAAGACTTCTTGTAACTTTGCAGGAAGTATAAAATTGCAAGTATATCACTTCTTAGAAAAGTTATGTTGCAAAAAAATCCTCTTCTACTTGGAAAAAGAATTCCTATTGAACAATAACACACGAGGCTAACCTCAGACAAATTTACACATAGGAAGTCTACATAAACAATCGAAGAAAATCCTGAGTGCAGGGCATACTTGGAGTATGAAATAGTCAAATGATAACAATAAACTTCAAGGGAATAAATAAGATCTATTAATAGAAGAAATACACATGGAATCTCTTCAAGTTAGTAATGGATCAGTCCAGTACACCCAAGGGAAAGTATCTTTATCTGAAACTTCCCTTTAATGACAAAGTTAAAAGTGAAAATATATGTTTGAAGTACCCGTTTACAGTATCGCATTCCCCAAGGGCATCAGCTTTTTAAAACAAAGGAAATGCATCCAAACCCTAAAGCAGAAGGTCACAGAGCAGGGTGGCAGGCTGCAGAGTTCACTCTCCCTACATGGCCAACAGTAAACCTTCTTCCAAGAAGGTTCAGTGGGAGTTCAGACCCTACCAACATAACAAATAGTCAGATGCAAGGAAACCTGGGAAGGCGGAAAGGAATGCTTCGTTTACAAATGCAGGAAATGTCTCATCTTGCTCTCACAACAGACAATTTTAATTACTATATTTTAAAATTGACCATTTTTAGCAGCACTCTCAGGATCATGTGAGCATTTCTGACAGCCAGAGTGAGTTTAAAAAGCCATAGCACTATTTTTAGCTTTAAAAATCAACACTTTCATAAATATTCCCAAACCTATTAGTCCATGTTACAAAGTAAATGTGTTTACCTTTAGTTACAGCAACAAATGCAATACAAATGCAGCTGATACTGCATCCAGAAGGTGATCCCCAGGACCATATAGCTCAAGGAACACACATCATGGCCATTTTTCATTCAGTAATAATGTAACCAAGCACGGGTGAAAATACGATAGCTCTATTTGAATCAAAGTTTCATGCATCCTGATGTAACGTCCAGCAGTTGGATACAGTGCTGTTCCCAAGTTCTAGCCTATTGTATGTGACTGTTCCTCAGAAAGGCTTCTCCATGGGTCACTTTGGTCTGCTGGGACAAAAAGTAAGTTGCCTGTGTCTGTGTGTTTGTGAAATAGCTAAGAAACTTTCTTTGACCACAATAACCACTGCCCATCATTACAACACTCCTGTCACCCTCAAACTGTAAAAAAAAAAAAAAAAAAAAAAAAAGAATACAGCAAATCATAAGTTTTAAAAGTGTTTTAGACTAAAAAGTGATTCCTACATTTCCTCATCTGGCCTTAAATCTGCAATGGGCCTAATCAAAGAAGTGGCCCTAAAATCCTACATTAGGAAAAGTTATTTTATTATAATTACTTACAAAGTACAGAGTCAGGTTATCACAAGGCCAGGGAATACTCTGACAAGTTAGCTGAAACCTGGTTATAGAACATCGCTGCAGAAGAAATAATTTTCTGAGGAAAAGCAATAAGGGAAGAGGCTCTGAACAGGTTAAGCACTACACACTGAAAATACCAACACAAAAGTCAAAGTCATTAAAATATTATATATGAAAACAAAGTTGGTATCAATATATGGTTTCATCTGCTTAGCTAACCTTTCATTACCAAGCTAATACCAGACTATTTTCCTGCCCACACAGCTTTACCACTTCCTGAAACATATTTCAAAATGGTTCAATATTGCAAAAGCATGCATAATAATGCCTCAAAAAACGTCCAGATTAATCTTATTTTAACATACAACTTTCCTTTTTTTATTATTCAAAATAAGCATAACAAAATATCAAATATCTTTTTAAAACCAATAATAGAAAATGGAGTAAATTTCTCAGTATGCTTCTAAACATTACAGAACATGTCTGAAAGAGAAGACGCTGATCAACAGACATGCAAACTCTCATACTTAAAGTGTATTTATAACCACAACTTATTTATCTCAATTAAAAAATTCCTAACCATCTAACATCCCCACAGTATTGCTATCACCAATATATCAAGGATGAAAGCCAATGCAAAACAGGCTAATAAAATGCTGCTAAACTGAAAGAAAAAAATATTAGTGTTTGTTACTGCGTATTTCTTATTTTCCAGCAGTCTGCTTGATTTAAATCACTCTGCCTCCAGAAAACGTGATAAGTATTTTTAAACAGCTTACAATACTTCATTTCACTTACTTATTAAACTACATCATCCTCTCAACCATTCAGAATGAAATCCATTTGAAATGGATAATTGATGCAATTGTGAAGTATCTAACAAATGCAATTAATCACTTGCTAAAGACGACTTTTGGGTAGGTAATAAATACGAAAATAAGAACCATGCAACCTTCTCTCATGGATGTCAGTTGAAATGGACAAATTCTACTGGACTGGCAAAAGATATTTTTGAATACAA